GGCGTCACTCAGCATCACAAAGGATCACAAGCCATCACACAGCATCACAAGGCATCACACAGCATCACAAAGCATCACAAGGCCTCACAAGGCATCACAAGGTATCACAAAGCATCACAAGGCCTCACAAGGCATCACACAACATCACAACGCCTCACACAGCATCACAAGGCATCACACAACATCACAAGGCCTCACAAGGCGTCACTCAGAATCACAAAGGATCACAAGGCATCACAAGGCATCACAAAGCATCACAAGGCCTCACAAGGTATCACACAGCATCACAAAGCATCACAAGGCCTCACAAGGCCTCACAAGGCATCACACAGCATCACAAGGCCTCACAAGGCATCACACAGTATCACAAGGCCTCACACAGCATCACAAAAGAGGCATTACACAACATCACAAGGCCTCACAAGGCGTCACTCAGAATCACAAAGGATCACAAGGCATCACACAGCATCACACAGGATCACAAGGCATCACACAGCATCACACAGCATCACAAAGCATCACAAGGCCTCACAAGGCATCACAAGGCATCACACAACATCACAAGGCCTCACAAGGCGTCACTCAGCATCACAAAGGATCACAAGCCATCACACAGCATCACAAGGCATCACACAGCATCACAAAGCATCACAAGGCCTCACAAGGCATCACAAGGTATCACAAAGCATCACAAGGCCTCACAAGGCATCACACAACATCACAACGCCTCACACAGCATCACAAGGCATCACACAACATCACAAGGCCTCACAAGGCGTCACACAGCATCACAAAGGATCACAAGGCATCACACAGCATCACAAAGCATCACAAGGTCTCACAAGGCATCACACAGCATCACAAAGCATCACAAGGCCTCACAAGGCATCACACAGCATCACAAGGCCTCACACAGCATCACAAGGCATCACACAACATCACAAGGCCTCACAAGGCGTCACTCAGCATCACAAAGGATCGCAAGCCATCACACAGCATCACAAAGCATCACAAGGCCTCACAAGTCATCACACAGCATCACAAGGCATCACACAGAATCACAAGGCCTCACGCAGCATCACAAGGCCTCACACAACGACACAAGGACTCATACGGTATCAAAAGGCATCACACAGCATATCAAAGGCTCACAAGGCATAACAAGGCATCACACAGTATCACAAGTATCAATGAAGAGTGAAGTACTTGCTCGGATTGGCTGCATTTTAAAAGAAATGATGTAAGACATGTTCTACTTAGTATGGATTACAGTTCCTTTTTCTGTAACTTGCACCCAAATATTTTTCAGTATTTCAGGTTCCAAAAATGGAGGACGCATGAATTTTTGCAGTGTAGCTAAATGTCGTGGGTCGTGGGTGTGGGTCGTAGGTCTGGGTGTGGGTAAATGTAGTAGGGTAAAAAAAGTCTTCCAAAGAAAAATTAAAGAATTAAATAGCAAAAAGTTGTAAAATAATGAAACGAAGATCTCTGCGTACATACCAGTCCTATTCCCCCTTCCCGCGGTCAGCGGTCAGCACTGAACAAATAAGCGACTCCCCTAGTACAAAAGGGGCACTAAAAAGGCATATGGGTGAAAAAAAGGAACTACGTACACTATGTAACACCAGAAGCAAAGAAAAAAAAAACTAGAAACTGACTTGTGTTTTACCAAAGACGTCAACATTCGTGACCGAAAAGTCCGTAATGATATTTAGAATCGATCGTTACAGCACAGGTTTTGTACACAAACCAAAACAAAAAACAATCAACAAAATTGTATTTCCGTACGGCATTAACATTTACAAAAATGGCCATGTGTGAGCGCAGGCGTACTTCGCTATTAAGGAAATAGGTCAGTTCTATGGCATTACCGGAGCTTTTCGGTTTTATTTTTTAATTCTAACAGAAAAATCGTTGCTCCTCACAGGTTTATGTTGTAAACTGCGTTCCGGCATAAACTCATATTACAACCTCCATAACCTTGCAAGGCTGTGATGCAGGACCATACCTGTATGAGTTCACAAGGTAAGGGAGCTTGTAGTAACCGGATCGGAGTAATTGTACTGTTTGTTTTCATCGACAGAATTCATGTGAAATTGCGTTGTATGTCTGTTACCCACCGAACAGTCACGAGGAATGAACCATCCCTGACAGAAATACAAGTCTCGATCGGCCTGAGGTATATGTGACAGCCCCAACCCACAGACGGAATCGTACACTTGATTTGGTCATCACTAGGACAGACTCTAAGAGTATGGTTGTGAAAAATGTTTCAGCTAATGGGGTGATTTGTCTCTGATCACAAACTTTAAATTTACACCGGAAGCTATTGAATGAGAGACGGTTGTTTCTCGTAGTTCTGGGTTATTGGATTCAGTGGAGAAAACGCCATTCATAAACAGAATAAGGCAAGGATTGGAACGTACGTAAATTGCGTTCTAATCCGCTGGAGGACTACAGGGTGAACGTTCTGGTACAATGTTAGGTTGCTGAACTATGGGATGCCTGATACTAGGCCAAAGAGAAAATGCAAGGGGTGACAGGCCGCACATCTATACCGGCGTGAAACCTTGTGTAAACCTTTTATATTTTAGCTCTAACATGTCCTTTAGGGATTTTCCTTTCTTGTAGGAAATGATAGGTCTTCTTTGAAAATTTGGCGAAGTAACGGTTGGTTTTGTATAAGATTCCAGTTTTTCATTAAAACTTCTTTTAAAGTAGACACTGAGGGCTGGTACTGTGTCACGAAAGGCAATATTTCTTTTTCCTCTTTGTTGTTGTGTTTCAGGAGAGCAGACTCCCTCTCTGTGAACTTTATATCTGATAGAAGGTTTTCTATCATAGTTTGTGGGTAGCCTCTGTCAATCAAGCGTATTTTGAAATTTGAAATATTTTCCTCAAATGTAGTTTTTGAGGAGTTTGTTCGTAGGATTCTCAAGGCTTCTCCTTTGACAAATCCTTTTTTAACACTCGGCGGGTGACAAGAGGTGAAATGTGTGTACTGGAAGGTTTCCGTTTTTTTAAAATATGTCTTTACATCAAGGATAGATTTTTCCTCGAATCTTGTGCCTTTGTATACAATCGTGTCTAAAAACACAGTCTCATGATCAGTGTCAGATATTTCGGCCGTGAATTTGATAGTTGGGTGATGTAAGTTCGCTTGTTCGATGAAGGCTTCGATGTCTGGTTTACTGATGTCCCAAAGGGAAAAGATATCGTCAATGTAGCGTTTCCAAACTGTAGGTTTAAAAACGGTTCTGCTTAGAATTGTCGTTTCAATATGTGCCATGAAAATATTGGCAAAAGAAACTGCTGTCTTTGTACCCATTGCAGTGCCATGGGTTTGTAAGTAGTGTCTTCCATTGAACTGGAAAGAATTTTCTTTGAGGATTAGTCTAAGCATTTCCCTCAGGTAATGTGAAGGAATAGGAGGGTTGTCTTTGTAGAAGTTTTCATATGCTTTGCAGACAATTTCAATGCCCTCGTTTTGTGGTATATTTGTGTAAAGACTTGTGACGTCCATCGAAACAAGAAATGTTCGTTTTTTCACCTTTGTGTTTTCAATAAAATTTATAAAGTCGGTGGTATCTTTAAGGTATGATTTCTGTATTTTTGATATTGGTTGCAGTAATGTATCAACAAAAGAGGAAATTCTTTCTGTTGGACCATCGCAGCCGGGGATAATTGGTCTCCCTGTAATGGTTGGCTTGTGAATTTTCGTTAGAGTGTAGAACTCTGGTATTCTGGGTGGATTAGGTGTTTGAGATAGCCATTTTCTTGTCATGTCATCAATATAATTTTCACGGTGAAGATCTGTAATTAGGAGCAAGACCTTGCTGTGCGTTTCTTTCACCATGGGTTCAGAGAGAGGTCTGTAGTTATGTTTGTCTTCGATTTGTATTTGACCCTCTCTTATTTTGTCGGTTTTGTTCATGACTACTGTAGTGCTCCCCTTGTCCGCTTTTTTAAGGTTGATGTCTGTGTTTTGCTTTAATTCTGTTAAAGTTTCGTGTTCCTTGCCTGACAAGTTATTTTTTGGCTTTGTTATTTTTATCTCTGCGAGTTGTGATTTAACTTCTTCCAGATAACTCTCGAGGGCTACTGATGGTTGAACCGGTGGGTGCCAGTCAGATTTAACGTAGAAAGGGTGAACTTCCCTATTTTTTCCGTGGATCATATATTTAAGGCGCATTCACCTTGCAAAATTTTCAAAATCTCGTAGCAACTGTCGTCGTATTTTGTCTCTGTTAATAGATTTGTTGACTGGTATAAATTTGAGACCTCGAGAGATTAAACTAATTTGCGCGTCAGTTAATTTTCTGTTTGAGAGGTTCTTAATATATTTTCCCCCTTTAGTAGTTTGATAACTGACTTTTTTCTTGGAAGATTTTTTTCTCCTTTCTTTGCGTGTGGCAGTTTTCCTTTGTATTTTTCTAGAGAATGATTTCCCTGTAATTTTGTTTGACCCACCCACGGTGTCGTTCACATTTGTGAGTACTTTTCACAATTTTTATTCTCTGTGTCACTATTAAGTTTTGACAAAAGGTACTCGTATTGCTCTTTTAGTTTTGAAGCTAAAGCTTTGATTTCATTACGATCCTCTGTAGTAGATACGTTTACATTTTTGCTGTCCTTGCGGCCCTTACGGTTTGTTAAGGACATTTCCTTATGTAGTTTCTGTTTCTGTTTTTCTAGCCGACGGTAGTGAAACTTAGTTAGGGCTTCGACAAAACCGCGCTCGGCTTTCTGTTTGATGGCCTTAATGTCCTTTTTAAATTGTTCATCTGCCGGTATGTTGGCCCGTGCAGAGTATCTAAGTGGCTTCGGACAAGTGTTCCTTTCCAAATGATTTTTCAGAAGTTTTATGGAATCTTCTGTTTTCTTTATCTTTGCTGTTGTGGTGGTTGGAACTTCGCTTGCTTTCCTTTTTAAATCTTTCTTTTTTGCTTCGTTCTTCCTTAGTGGTTCTTGTGGTGGAGGTTGTTGGTAGCTTGTCAGCCCATAGTCCTCGTTGTCGCTGCTATTTTCGTCTCCTCTACCGATCAGTTGATCGTATTCTGTGTTAAGCAGGCTCTGAGAGGTTTCGGCTTTTATGTTGAGCAGGCTCTGAGAAGTGGCGTCTTCACTATCGCCCTCCATGTTAGTTTTCTGAAGAAATGTGAGTTTTACAAGCATGGTTTTTATGGAAAAAATATTATATTTTTGAGTAGACATATCTCATAAACGGGCTACAAATTCAACAGGAATACGCGCGCAATGAATAAATTGTCTGTTGAACATTTAAAAGGTTCTGTTCCACTTACAAAATTTTCCCTTGCTGAACATAAACTGTACCGAGCCGTATCTTGGTCCGCTATATAGAAGCGATATCATCGTTCAAATTTTAAACTGTAAGATCCCCTGAAAGAGGTCTCCTCAATGGAGCAATATATAAAAGGTTTCAAAGGTTTCACGCCGGTGAAGATATGCGGCCTGTCACCTCTTGCAAGTTTTAACTTTTGTAATGCTGCTACATAAAAGGCGGATTTCCACAGCAAAAAAAATATTTTAAGACTATTTTTGACATCATTTTCATAAAGTATAAAGAAGAGATTCTGGCTATAACGACAGTAAACGAATTTTTAAGATTTCAGACAAAACCCATTATGCAAATCAACATTATACAAATTACCATGAAATTAGAAGCCACCTGGGAAGATCAAAATATAATTCAAATTTACGGAGTTGATCGGCGTCTGAACTACACATCAAAAGTCGGCTACGCTACGATAATTTGATATGCTTTTGTGTCAAAATATACTGAACTGAGGTAAGTTGGAGCTACGCAAATCCATTACAGTGTAGGCGAAAGAAGAAACCGCAAGTTGTGGACGCAACACACCGCACTTTCGGCTGCATCGAGAAGCCAAAATGCTTGAAGAGAAGCCGGAAAACCTGACCCAACTGTGATTAGAGAAGAGTCACAAATCGCGAAAACAAACTCACAATAAAGCACAATGGAAGTCCAGTAGCTTTCAATTTACTGACCACCACGAAAGGTCTGGGCTCGTACGGTTTAAACTCTTCAGCCCGTAATGATATCGTTAGGTCATAAGGTCGTAATTGTTTCCGGAATGATAGCGAAAACTTCAGACGGGGTCACTGCCTTGCCGCGGAGTGTGTGCACAACGACATCATCACATGGTTGGAAGACAAAAACAAAAAAGGTCTAGAGTTAAAAAGCGATTTGCAAGTGCAGAGCCGAATGGTTCTGTCGCGTCTATCAGAATCGGTTTGCACATGTCCAGTGTCGTGTGATGTGTGAGGCGTCACAAAATCTCTCTTCATTTACATTACGCCTAAATCGGGCACCAGATGAAGAAAATTATTAAAGAGCGGCCGGGCCATCGTAGATATTTGTCTGACAGAGATGTCCGTAATAATTTTGACTTGTACTCTGGGTGCCAGAGACTTTTCATGCCTGTTTTCCTGTTTCGGTCGTCTTTGTAGAGAGCCGAGCGAAAATTTAGTCGCTGGTGGCTTCGGCGTATAACCCTGAACAGGGTTATATGCTTCTGTATCAGATGAAAATGATATGCATCTCGAAATCTTTCAATCAGGGGCACCCAACGGCAATTTTCGGGAAAATATCTGTTCGGAAGACGATTTGAGAACTAGAATTTTCGGAACATTTGTTGTAAAATTTCTTGCTTGCCTGCCTCTCCTAGGATTTTCGAACATCTACAAAATGGTATAATTACCCATTTTAATCGGATATTTACCCTAAAAAAGGCCACCTAGAATTTTCGGGAGCCTTTTCCTGGCTGAAGTTGATCCCTATAATTTTCGGATCACTAGACTTTCAGCTAGGAAATCCGAACAGATGAAAAGTTTTTAGGGGATAAAAATATGCCTATATCTACTGTTTAAATACTAAAATACGTTCAACAATGCTATGTTAAGTGGTTTTGAACTATAACCTCGTTGGGTGCCCCTGTTTCAATGTAATTTAATTATTACAATGTATGTCCGACTTAATTTGGTTCAGAAATTTGGCGGTTTTCTAATTTTCCACTTTGATCATTGTTGTTGTTAAAGAAAAAAAACATTAACAGATTTTCTTAAATAAAAGTCAAGTTTGTTACCCAGTAATTAAATGCGGTTACATTGACCCTTGGCTCAGTTTCCCGCGGTACAAGGCCTTTTATTTTACCTGTAAAATCAAAGGACCTCTTAAAGCTCAAAAAAGCACAGTGACTTGTCGGTGCAATGCTTAGGACAAGGCTCACAGGCCAGGGCCGGCACACCATATCGAAAACTTCGATATCTCCTTCCAGAAGTAGCCTGAATTTCAGACGATTTATACTTCCAACCTCATCCCCAGCGCGCTTTTCGCCCTAGGACGAGGTTGTATTTTATATCTGTATATTATATATGATTGGATTACTATTATAGGCCTTATAGTTCTATTGCTTAATATTATTGTAACGAGGGGGCCTCCTCGTACAAGCCTTGTGGTTTTCTGAGGTCCCCTCGCCACATCTTTGTATAATGTAATGCTTGTGTAATCTTTATTGTGGGAAAATAAAAAATAAAATAAAATAAATAAATAAATAGGATACAGTAAGCAAGAACCTAGCACAATAAACATGTGGCACTCCCTTAAAAAAATTGTCATATTTACAACCCTACCTGCCCATAGAGTACTAAAGTGTGACGTCATAAAAATGAAATTTCTGAAATTATGGGATTTGTCAGGATATTCTGAAAGAACAATGTCCAAGAGGCCTACTTGCCAAAAATGAGCATTTGGGGGTAAATTGTCTCTGAGATCGTAGCCCAGTTATGCTTACAAAACTCCATACAAACCCTTCTAAATTTTTTTTGGGTCGACCCAAGAAAAAATTAGAAGGGTTTGTATGGAGTTTTCTGAGTATAACTGGGCTACGATCTCAGAGAAAATTTGCTTCCAAATGCTCATTTTTGGCAAGTAGGCCTCTTGGACATTGTTCTTTCAGAATATCCTGACAAATCCCATAATTTCAGAAATTTCATTTTTATGACGTCATCACTTTAGTACTCTATAACGGCCACCTTTCCGCAACGGCCACATTCTTCTGTCCCTACGTGTGGACGGCGGGTTCGAGTGTATTGCAATCAATTTCCGCCAATCCGTCTATCCGTGCTTCCTTTTGTATTTGCTGTGTTCCAATGTTTTAATTTTTCTAAATCTTGTGACACAGCTTCTTTTAATAAATGTGGAAACGTTGAAAAAGTCAAAACGTTTTTTCGGTCAGCTTGAAGCTGGCCGCAGCTACCAGTAGTTTCCCTTTTTTCCCGCGCTTCCCGCGTCAAAACGTACGGCTGTGTAACCCCGCCCTTCGTCCGTGATCCCTGGAACGAGTTGATTCTTTCCAGACTTAGGAGAGGTTACAAAGACCGCCAAAGCAAAACTTCACGTGGAAAAATAACTATGGTGTTGACTAAAGCTTACCTCAGATATGTACAATCCGCTTGTTTTGGTGTTGTTTGCAGTCTGAAGGCCAACGTTGTCTTCATCAGGAAAAGGACTGGCAACTCAAAGGAGCAAGTCATCCAATATGCAGCATGCCCGGCGCTTGAGAGCGTCATTGTTTGGGATGTCAGGAGAGGTGAAAAGGCAAGTGTGAAATAAGTTTGAAGTCCTCGCTCGGCCGAGATGCAGTCGAACCCCGTTAATAAAGCCACTGAGTCGACCATAGAAAGTGTCGGTTTTATCAGGGTGTCCGTATTAAGAGGGTCAAGTTTAAAATATACCTTTTTGTGGGCTATACAACAAATTACATGTACCTAATTTGAACAAAATTGGAATACACGTTTCAACCTTTTTTTCAAACCACATTATGAAGCCATTGGTATCACAGTATCACAGTTTGAGAAAAATGCAGTTTCGAAGTCAATAAAATTTTGATCTGACGTCCAATTTCTTCTAATTTCTTTAAACAATCTTCATTTTTTTATTTTATTTATTACCTCTTATTTGTCTTATGTATCGGTCAAATCGAAGCTTCAACATGCCCCCCCCGGGCAACCCCCCAGGCATTTGACTTTTTTGAAAACTATTGTTCAAATTCCCCCCTACCCGGGCCAAAATGCCTTTCAAATGCCCCACACAGGTGATCAAATGCCCCCACCCCGGGGACATTTCACGGGCACAAAAATGACAGAAGGATGGCAGAAACGCCTTCAGTTGTCTAACAAAATCTTTATAAATATAACAAAAACTGAGCAACACTGCTAGCGTATTTACTACGAACAAAAGTCTTGTGCAATGCGGCGGAAATCGCTGCTACAAGGTCACTGAATGCTCAGCTTTTCTTCGTCATGCAACATACAAAGCGTTCTATAAAAAAAGATCCCACCTATTGAGATTACTACATCATGACCATTTTACTGACATGGATCATCGCTCACCTTATTAATTAACATACTTACAGTGGGTCAAAGTAGTTGACCGTCTTATTTTATTTTATTTTATTTTACGTTGTTGTACTGAATCGCCGGTATAGGTATTGTACTTCATTGTAAAAACAACAATAAAATACATTCATACATTCAAAGCCTGAATCCAGTATTAAAAATTTTAAAATTTAAATACTTCAAATATGGCACAAAGCTTGTTTAAGCCCTTTCCTCGAAACCAATTCGCCACAAAGGCACAATCTTTTCCACGAAAACACCGCGTCCCCCATGATAGCTCGCCACGCCAAAGATTTTACATGAAATCGAGGGTGCAGTTCAAATTCCCGACCCCTAAAGCATGGGGATCAAATTCCCCATCCCCTGGAAGACTTTGATGATCAAATTCCCTCCTCCCCGGGACGGCAAAGGTGTCAAATGCGCGGGGTATCCCGGGGGGCATGTTGAAGCTTCGATTTGACCGATACATTAGGCCTCCAGTGACATGTAATCTTTTTTGTAAAATTTTACTTTAGTGTTTGCAAAATAAATTTAACAGGTTGCTATGCTCAAGGGTGACAAACATGAGGTGACGGCTCTACAAGTCAGCCCTGACCAACAAGTTTTAGCTGTTGGGTAAGGCATGTACATGTAATATTATTTAACTTACCAGGAAAATCACCAAGGTTTCAAGTTGCTGGTTATATACAATTTTATAACATAACAAAAGCAAACCGCGCGCTCGATTGGTCAGTTAGCCACTACCATTTGCCCGTGGGTGCACGCCAAGAAACTGAGCTAGCGCGGTAAAATTTAGGCAAATTCAACAAATCTCCTCTCCTGACGGTAAAATACACAGATGAAATGCACAGATGAAAAGTGCAAGTTGAAGAAAATACTAAGCTGTCGTTTTGAAGGAAAAAAGACAGAAGATCAAGCGACAAATTTGCCCTGGATGAATTAATCACTGTTTTCCTCGCGGCTAGAATCGGCTGAAGGATAATTGAGCGAGCGAAGATTTAAGGTACATTTTGTATGTTTTTTATAGAAGAGAAAGTCTGTTTGAAATGTAAATTTATCAATTAGCATTGTGTTATTGACTTTTTGGTCAAGCTGATGCTAAATTCAAGCAAATATTTTAGGAAACATGCCCAAATTCGAGACAGCTTTGTTGTGAAGTTTTCATCGCTTGATTAAAAATTTTAGTTGAGTTTAGACGGCACATTACGCTGGAATAAGCGAATTTCATTTGAGTACAGAAACATTTGGGTTTTCAAATAAATTTTTCCAAAACTGACTTCTGTGTGTATTATTTTGTTCCTCGGTGTTCATTCATAACAGTCGTTCAGAGAATGGTCGAAAAACAACAGCTTCAGCACCGCTGTGTGTCGGCGAATTTCAGTTTTAACTTTGACTTTCATAGCTGCATTTCCCCAGACAGATTTCGATACAAAGCTAGTTAATTTCTTTTTAAAATTAGTGTTACCTGTTATTCTAAAGGAATTACCTTCAAATTTTCTCATTTCTACTTTGCGTTTATTTCAAAAATTGTCACATAAATAGGATTGATAATTATTTCATTTATTTAGTTTTAGCTTGTTTTTTAGAGTCTTTTTAGTTGGTGTTTATAGTTGCAGCTATAGTTTTCCCTCGAAGTTTTTACCCTAATATTAAGAGCAAGCAGACAGATGCCATTCAGAATAACAACGAAAAATGTTTTGCAATTTACCTGAAGACGGAGAACGGTTGATTCAGCGAAAGAAAAAACTTTTATGTTATAAAAGAAATGGTAAACGTTGCAGCTGTGCAACCATGGAGTTATGGATGCACTTGGGAGGTTTGCTAAGCACTCAAGAAGCTAGAGTCGCACTCGGCTATCGCCTCGTGCGACTCTTACGCTTCTTTCGTGCTTAGCAACCTCCTGCGTGCATCCATAACTCCATGGTTGCACGCTGCACGTTTACCATTTCTTAAACTTAACTACATGTAGATGAGTAATTGAACAGCTACTTATCTTTTCTCATCCTTATTCCGAATATTTTAACCTGGTGATTTAAGAACCTACAGGCTGAAATTTGGCATTTAAATACCCAAAATATAAGAACCTGTTCAGCCTGGCAAAAAAAATAGATCGTTCTAGATACGAAAAATTAATCCAGTTTTGATGGTCAAAATTCTGGATTGTAATTGTGTGAGAAACTTCTGACAAAAAAATTATTGTGTATAATTATGTTTTCTTTGATTTACATTTGCTTGGATTTACACTAGAAATATGTTTTCCATAAACAGTTATGTATTTAATAGCAATACAGTCAACTCTCTCTAAGACGGACACCTTTGGGACCGGCACTAAGTGTCCGTCTTAGAGGGGTGTCCATCTTATGGAGAGTCAAATAAAGGGAGTAAAGAAAAGCAGGCACCAACTCTTAAGTGTCCGTTTTACAGAGGTGTCCATCTTATAGACATGTCCATTAAGAGAGAGTCAACTGTACACTATTTCTTTCAAATTTGGTGAACACTAACTGGTTACATGTATGAAGAATTAGCTGTGGCACTTGAGCTAATCTGGAGAAACATACAATGTTGAAATGTTTGGATGAATAATAAAGTCTTTTTTCCTGTGATTTTAGATATGAAGATGGAACAGTCAAACTATGGAAGTTACAAGATAGCCTCTGTCAAGTAACCTTCAGGTAAATCAGTCAGTCTTTCACCAACTTTACTATTGTCTCAAGCCTGTGAGAGTAAAATGATGTAGCATTAACTTAAAAAATGAGTCTGTAGGTCTACAAAGAATAGAAGGGAAACCAAACATTTTTAGATAAGTTAGTATTGACAGATCTTCTTTAAAACCTGTAAAAGCTAAATCTCTTAGGCAACCATTTGGTACATCTTTTTTTATTTCTTTAATAGCGGTCACAAGTCGGCAGTGTCTGTTCTGAGGTTTGATGACTCTGGTGGAAGGCTTGTCTCTGGATCAAGGGTAATCTCATGGCTTTTTCTTTCGATTATATACCGGTATATATTGAAGAGACAGAGGACTTAATGATATACTTGATGATATTTGTGTCCTGTATTTTGTGTTTACCTCAGTGTAAGAACCTGCGAACTTTTTCTTTGTTTTGCACCTTTTGTTTTCCTAGGTTTCGTTGTGTTAACTTCATTGTTTTCTTTGTTTTCCCTCACTTGTAAGTTTTTTAGGTTCTTACACTGAGGATGAGCCTCTTCTTTTAGATGAGTGATGTTGAACTGTTGCTGGAAGCATTTTATTTGCATCAAATGTTCTCTTTCAATAGTTATTTTTCGCGAAGCCATTAGTCTGCCTGTTAGAAATGTCAAAAAAATGTTAGGGAAATCAAGGCAGTCCTTTCGAACACTTTGATGCAATGTGAGTGTTAGAAATTTTCGCCTGTACATTCAAAACATTATCCAACCAGTTCAAGGTGTTAAAAAAGTCATTACAAGCCGTTTGTTAGCTGTTAGTTTTTACCTGTTAAACAGAAAACCATTAGTGTGCATTTTCCTGGAGAAGGTCACATACATGTAACATTACGGGATGGAGAAATATACATTAAAGATATTGTTTATTGTTGTTTGTAGATCTCACTGAATTAACCTCATTTTTGACTGCGTGAAACAGAGTCACATGGGGCCTTATTTTCCATTGGGAAGCAAGTTCATGTACCAAATTACTGTTATTTTATTCTCTCGTTTTTTCCCACTTTTCTAGGATACCAATGTCATAGTTTGGGACACTGTTAATGAGGCTGGTTTATACCGGTAGGCATACGCTGTACACATGTATGGTACAGTATCTTGGACAATACAATTCAGGCTAAAATTTATTTGACATAATTCTCGGAGAATTGCTGCAAATTCGCTTATCATAGGAAAAGCACATGTAAATGCTTGTAAAACACAGAAAGGTTTTTGCAAACACAATAACAAACGACGCACTTGGGCTACCATGCCGTGTATGCCTTGTTCTTTTGTGAGAATATAATATAGGCTCCTGGTTTTGTTATTACTAATTTGATCATTTTAAATTTACAAATTAGATTTAAAGGCCACAAGGGATTAATAACACAGTGTTATTTCATGAAAAGCCAGAACATCCTGATCACAAGGTGTGTTTGCAAACATGATGACACTTAATACCATTTCATCTCTATTGCATATGTAAATACTTTTTTTTTCTAATGTTTATTTTTTTTAAATACTTTGTCAATTATGCAGTAATTTTGTTGTCTTTTTTTCCCAGCTCTAAAGATAGCTTTGTAAAGTTCTGGGATCTTGATACTCAGCATTGTTTTCTTACTCTTGTTGGGCACAGAAGTGAGGTGAGGAGCTACATGTGTATAAATGTGTCTGCATTTGTGTGTATTTTATGCCTGTATATTCATGCAAAACTGGATAGGACCAGGGAAAGATTATGAGGGGTAGAAATATAGGCTTGCATAGTGAGTTCTATTAGTTAGGCTCACACTCGCTGGCTTGCAGATGATTTTTAGCTAAATTGGAGCAGGGAATTTTTTGTGTCGGTTTCTATAAGGAGAGGAAGACTTTACAGTTTCATGTTGCCATAGCTTCATTAATAATATTATATTAATGAGTTGATAAATATTTTTTTCCTTGGTTGAAGGAGTATTACAATAGCATGCACTCAACAATGTATGTTTCTGCATATCTCTGTCTGAAGGTGTGGGGATTTGCTGTTGTCCAAGATGAAACAAGGTTGGTCACTGGATGCTCAGATAGTGAATTGAGAGTCTGGAAAATAAGTTCTACTGAGAATGACACAAGTGAATTGACAAGAGACATTGAAAAACAAAACAGCAAACGCAGTGCCGAGGAAGCAGGGTTACATGATGAAGCCCAAGAAGATGCAGCTGAGGTATCTAGCAATCACCTCCTTTAACAGGAGTGTCCCTAGGCTTTTTCCATCTTGTAAGCTTTGGTGGAGCATATTAAGGGGAGATACAGTGTACAGTACATTGTCAGCGCCTTAGAACCCATTGGGAGTGCCGAAGGTGTGACATGCTAGGGAGATCCAGGGGCATTCCCCCTGAAAAATTTTGAAAATTTAAGTACTCTTGAATGCAATCTAGTGTTATCTACATGCTGAAATATTTTGCAAATGCGAGGATTCCATATTGAACAAAAAATAATGGTAGAATATCTAATAAAATGTTACAGCAAGCTGTGGTTGTGGTCCAAAAAGTAATAACTCTATGTTGGTTGCAAACATATAGTGTACAAAATGAACCTGAAAACTTGGTGGAATTCAAAGAAATTCGAAAGCTCTGGTCGTCTGTTTTTTTTGGCGCAAAATTCACAAATTACAGTTTCTACACCAATGGCCATATCTCGGTAAGCAAAGCATGCAGATTACATTGTATGTTTCCATTGCATATTATAGACTTTGTCTTAGGTTGTAAGTCTCTAGTATTTATCTTTATTTCAGGGAAGCCAACTGTCCTGTACACTTATTGGCTCCATTTTTCGTCACAGCCATGAAAGGGTGGTATCAGTAATGACTGACTTATCACAAACATTTCTTGGCTGCCTGGTAAGTGTAAAATTCCTGTTAGAGTCTAGCCTGTGTAGCAGGTACTGGGTTTTTGAGGGTGAAGGGAGAAATTTTGAGGATGCTCATGCGTGTTCCGCTTGCGCACTCCATAACAACCAACCAAATGTTAATGTTAACAGAAATTAACATGAACTTTTTATATTTGCCGAAATTTCTTGAAGCTTTAATTCACCATGATTGACTGCTTAAAAAGATTTCTTATAACGACCTGGACTTGCTAGCTTCTGTACGTGTCCAAGGCAGATACAATTTGTGTTTATAAACACAAAACTTGATAGTGGATATTCATATTATAGTCAATTGACAGCTGTCAAAAAAGGCTATCTGCTGACCAGTGTCACGTGATTGTATTGCAGGCTCTTGAACCTTGTTTACCACCCCCCCCCCCTCCAAAAAAAAAATTGCGTAACCATTGTTTCCAATTCCTTCTGGGTATTACAGTCATCCCAAGAGAAATCGAAGACAGTGGTTATGTAAAATTTTGGGGGTAAACAAGGTGCATTATGGTCTATGTGACAATGGTGAATTGAATGAATGAATGGTGATGTGTTTTGTAAAGTTATCCACAGACCAGTTATTGGTTTTCAATTGATCATGGGCGCGGTTCCAAAATTTCCCATTGTCAAAGAAACTGTGTCTTGCATGTGGTTTCGATGGCATCGCCAGGTTCATTTTGCTTCAGTGAACACAACCTTGAATGACCTCTTATGCGCAGATGTTGAAAATTACTTCCTGTGTTTTTGATTGTATTCATTTTAAGAATAACGGTAAAGGCATATAATAAATAACTTTTTAACCTCGTCTGTTCGGTCATTGCAGGGAAATCTCAGACCTCAGCCTTGTATCTGTCAATACATCAAGGCCTCAGTCTGAGATTTCCCTGTTATGACCTCACTCTTGGTTAATAATGTACATGTATAGTTAATCCGGTAAACCTGGCCTATGCGAGGAATTTTTCTTTAGTGACATATAGCATGTTTGAACGTGGGAAATCTATAATATTATTGACAGGTTATGGCTATTATTAACAATTTATACACACCCTATTATGCTTTCCTAGTGTTTGAAATAATTTTGTATAGTTTACATTTATATTTCTTTTGCCACCTTCTAGGGAAATGATTCCCAGCTGGAATTGTTCAAAATTTTGAATGATGAAGAAATCCATAAGCACTTACAAAAGAAACTGAAAAAGCTAAGGTTTGCATTTGAGTGCCTTAAATAAATATTTGAATGTACATATTCACATTACACAGTACACAATGTTTGTATGATTTAACCTTTTCAACAATTTGCGGCTCTGTGAAAATCCATAGTAATAATGTGTATGGCTTCTGTAAGCTCCCTTATTAAATTTCTGTGTTAAGTAATCATGAACAGAGAGAAGTGTGTTTATACTTATTAAACAAAATATTAATTTGTTCTTTAACTAGAAAAAAGGCGAAAAAAGAAGATGCAAAGCAGGTACTATTTATGTTGATGGTTTTAAGTTTATTCTTGTTGTAAATTGAAAACTAGCAAGTACATGTAACTAATAATGTTCTACTGTTTCTTATCAATGTGTCATCAGACAAATGTTAATTTTCTGGGTAAAATGTTTCATTCAAACAATTTATGTTTTCAGGGTTTTTTTTTGTGACTTTGGCTTTACTACCATTATCTAAGGCACAGAAAAACAAATTGAACCTAGTCTAAAAATTTTAAAAGAAAAAAACGAGAGGTTTTCCCACAGTCATCATGACAGTGTAACGAAGAAAGCTCCAATGATTGTACTAATTAGAACTTCAAGGAATATGAAGTTTGGTAGCTCAGGTTGTTAACTGCAATGAAAGTACATGTACAAGGCATGTCACTTTTAGTTGTGTCTTTTCTTCTGAATTCTTCATTAAGTATAAATCTATTGTTTTTGCTTTACATAAATGTTGTGATTGGTTTGATGTTTTTGATGGGTAGAACACGGACACAGAACCAGAAGTTACAAGAACTGTAGATGATGAAATACAAAGAGTACATTCTTTGAAACTACGCTCAAAGATCAAGTAAGAATAATATTGAACACCATATTGTGAGATAAGCAAGGTTTGTGAGGAATTTAAAAAGGCAAAATAAACAAAGCAATAACATTATACATTGTATCCTAAAACAGGCATCATTACGTCATTTTTCTGCAGTAATTTTTTGTGTCCCTGAAATAATGAATAATTATATCGAAACATGTACCTCACAGAAAGTCATTGACAATTCAATCCAGAATTTCTCTGTCCTCTCAGAAACTCTTATATTATATCAATATTTCCTTAACGTCAGAAAGAAACAATTGAACTCTTTGCTGGGTAATGGCCTGACTACTGGAGCTAAAGCTAATGAATTTATTATATCTATTTTGAAATCACTGGTGATCCCTGTAATCTAATTGGCTCTCAGCAGTGTGATTTACTCACGAATCATACTATTTGTTGTAAATCACCTCTTCTCTAAATTGCATCATTAATGTTCTAAATCACGTCATTTCTGTTTTATATTGCACCAATTTTTGCTCTATATTGCCATCATTTCTGTTTCAGGTACAAAATGAGATTTAAAAGCCTTTTTGTTTCTGCTTTTCAACAAACCAGCTACTTGTTCAAATAAATATTGGTACTGACTGAATTCTGCGATTTCAAAATGGCTGTAATAAAATGGTAATTGGACTTTGTGTTGTGCAATTTTGGTCTGAAATCATACTTGTGATTTCAAATCAAACGTGTGATTTTAAAATCAAGCGTATGATTTCAGACCAAACTGCACTCCACTCAGTTCAATTACCATGATTATTAATCACTGGTTTTATTATTATAGATCTTTTGACTTGCATTATGACAAGGCTGGTGAGTTGAAGGTAATTGTTGGTCATTTTTTCTAGTAAAGGTAATGTATCGTTTGTTTCACTGTCAGTTCCTCTGTACTCAATACAATGAAGCGTGGAGAAATTAAAAGCATAGATTTCGTGCTTTACAAAATGTATTTGTTATATGTCAAACATGTGAAATACATGTTTAGCCATTCTCTAAAGATCCAGGGTTGAGTTGCTGCTGCCACTTTGTAATTAATATTATTTAAGATTATTTCTGATTATTTCTGAGGATTGTATCTAGAAAGATATTGTCTCATTTACAAAGTTACTGAAAACTCTGGACTTGAGATTTTTCAAAAGATTTATGTCATGGACAACTGTAGATGTCTGTTCGAGTGGTAGAAAATAAAACAAGCTCAAACTGTCCATCATTTTGTGATTTTCCTTGTCTTAACACAGGTGCTGTTATCACTTCAAAATAATTCCATCCAGTTTCATTCAGTAACCCTTAAGCCAGTGGATTCATCTTGTGTGTCTTCTGTAACACTTCCTGGTCACAGATCAGATATCAGGTGTGTATGGTCTTCTCTGCAATTGTGGACATGTCTGGGGAAAACGTTTCATTTGTGGCGCTTTTTTCAGATCACACATGCCCAAGCAGTAACCCTCCCTCAGGGTTTGAGCTAGGATTTGATCACTAGGGGACAATTTGTCCCCTTGGCTAAAATTTTGGGGGACATTTTCATTTTTAGGGGGACAGAAATTTGTACACCCTTCCTTCTTAGCAGGGCTTCTGATAGGTCTCGGACGAAAAAGTCAAATTTCGCGGGATTTTTAGGGACAAATTCGCGGAAAAATCGGCCGATTTCGCGGGACTTTTCGGGGCAAACTTCACCGAAAAGCAATCGGTAAAAAACGGCCGATTTTGTGGTTATTTTCAAGGCAAATTTCGCTAGAAATCGATCGGTTTTGCGCTGATCAGACCAGCCTTTTTAACGTTTTTCTAACAGAGGTCATCATTTGCTCTTTCAACAACAATACGCTCCAGAAATGAACCAATGGCAAAGCCTTTAACATGATGGCTAGTGCCCAGTTTTTCGCAACCTAATCTGTTTGCACGTTTCAATGACAAAGTTCCAAGATAAATTTGCAAGTTTACGGCAAGTAAATAGCCCCTATAGCTGAAATAAGTTTCAAATATGTTGTACAGACATGTATTTGAGAAGATTTCTACCAAATTTCGCGGTATTTTTCGTGTTTTTGTGAATTTTGCGGCTCCGCGACCGCGCGAAAAATCAGAAGCCCTGTCTTAGATTTCCGACAAAAATATCAGTAGAGCGTGACTGAAACGTAACTTTGGAATGAACTTTAAAGGTGCGATTAAATATACTCGCTTTCCACGTTCTGTTTCAGCTTGCAACTTCTGTACCGAAATAAATCTCTTCGTGTGTGCTTCCTTTCGAGTTTTTTCCTTAAATTTTGAAGGGGACAAATTGTCCTCTTGGCCGTTTTTTAAAGGGACAATTCCAATTGCAGTGCGGGATTGGCGCAATGGCGCGGCCTGGCTCAAACCCTGCTCCCTCCATCCCACAAACAACATTGGATGCATGTATCCAGAATTTTCCCAACTTTCAACAATGCGTATGGTGGGGTGCAAGATATTTTTGAAAAAGTTGCACTGTTTTATGAGGGCACCCAGAAATTACAGAAAATTATGAATAATGCATCACTGCCGGGTAGGACTTTTGTCCACGATTGTAGTTCTTAATAGGTAACAGTATTAAAAGGAATCAAACCTGTATTTTTTACATTATGAATACATTACATGTAGGCCATTTACAAGATTAGTTCCAAAAACACTGACTTTCAAAACAAGGCAAAGTTCATTTTTTGCACTTACCCTCAATTTGAGAAGAAGGCTAGGAGCAACTTGAGAATGGCAGTCTTAGTACATTCTTTTCATTTCTGTTTGACCATGTTAAGTACTCTCAAAAATACTGTAGAATTATGTTTTATTTGGAAAGTCCATTAATACAATACCTGTAAGTTTTCATTGCACACCCTCCTATACTGCTACAGTAAAATAACCCCCTGGTGCTGCTGCTCGTAAGTTCAAGGAGCTTGGTCAATTTTTGGAGTTATTGTTTTGCAAATGATAGTTATCTTGAAATTAAACACAAAATGTCTGTTTCCTGAGAAAGGAAAACTTAGAAGATGACTAAGCCTGTAAGGAGATAAGTGTGGATTGAGGCACCTTGATATTTTTCTCCTGATGGTTATGAACTGCGATGAGAAACCACTCAAACTCTACAATTCAGACGTTTTAGCACTCTAAGCCCCAATGCAATGGATAGCAAGATTGGGATAGAACACTCTAAAACGGTTTTCTTCACACACAAGGACTTGTACCATAGTATTCTGTAACAACAGCGTATGTATGTTACTTTAAACCCTTTAAACCAAATGGAGTTTTGTTGTTGTTGTGGTTGTTTAATTTTTGTTTTTTGTTTTTGCAGAACTCTCTGCTTTAACTCTGATGGCTCCTGTTTCATGTCTGGTGCCCAGGAATCAATTAAAATATGGAACAGGTAAATCCCTAAAACATGATTATTTGATTTTATCAGCTATCTTTTCTGTTACAGTACATTAAAACCTAAACATGTCTTTCATCCCTCTGGCAATTGTTAGTTTGCCCTAGACCTAGCCTGTTCCAGGCTCTGGGATAGTCAGGTGAATTGAGAAAGAGCAAACATGAAATCCCCCCTTCCTTTTTCCTTTTTCCCACCACGCCAACTTTTCGCATCCCTTTCACTTTCGCATCTTCCCCACTATCTGAGAGTCTGGAACTGGCTACCCTAGACCTGTCATAGCACTTACAGTAAAGGGTAAAAGCAAGATAAAAGGAACACATAAGCACAAGTACTACCCTAGGTTTTCAATAAGATGTGAAGTAGACTGCTGTGACCTCAGATTTATCCAGAAGGAGGCATGCCCCACCCCTGCCCAGAAAAAAAATGTTAACTACAGGCCTGGAAAAGCAATTTATAGCCCTCTGGACATGAAATTGAGTGGATGTGTGACAGCCAAAACAGTTAAAATTTAATCTATCAGGCAGATTTTAATAGCACGTTTTATCTTTTTGAGATTGAAGTCATTGCTTCCAGATGCACACAGCATCCATCAACATTATGAGTACTTTGGTGTAACTGGTCCTTCTTCTTTACTGACGGGCTGATTTGGCTATTTCAACCCTATGTAACCAGGACATCACTGTCTATTATTTGTGACACCTTACACTTCATAACAATTCTTGATTTTTTTTCTTTTCAGATCATCACAGCAGTCAATTAGAACGCTTACAACAGGATATGCACTAAGTTCTTTGTTTGTTCCTGGTGACAGACATGTTGTTGTAGGAACTAAGGTATGTCAGTTTAGATGAGACAGTTTTTTACTACTTGGTCAGAGATGAGAAAGGGCATGCACCAGCTTCAAGTCACTCACTTTAGGTGCAGCACTGAGAGTGCTTTCCTTCCATGTGGGTCGGGTTAAAGCCTGGTTTCACTAACGCATAAGCATAAGTGCAAGCACATGCATTTGAGAACACTAACGACATAAGCATGAGAAAGGGCATGTTCGTTGTTCTTGTGCTTATGCTTATGTCGTAGCTTTGACTAGTGAGAATAGAGTTGACGTAAACACAAGGATAAGCACAAGACATTGTCTTCGTCCGCCATCTTGTTTATCATGGGGTTGAGGAGAGCTGGTATCGAGAATTGAGTCAATTGTGTTATTTTGCATGTGCGTATGTCTTTATGCTTATGCGTTAGTGAAAACCAGGCTTTAAGCCTAAAATAAGCTGTACTGTATAAAGTCACTTAACTGCATTGCATGCTTGAGCTGTGAGGGCAAATAATTCCTTTTTCTTTATTTGCAATGTATTTGTAGGCTGGGAAACTTGAGATATATGATATATCATCTGGCCAGCTTTTGGAGTCAGTTGATGCTCATGATGGTCCTCTGTGGTCCCTTTCTTTAGCTTCTGACAAGGTACTTGTAAATAATTTTGGAAAGGTGGGAAAATCAAATTCTTTTCTTGTCACCCCTTTCACAGCTTGCTTAGACCGCGAGCAGTCTCTCTTTTTCTTCAGATTTAGTGAGGGGAGTGCATGCGTGCGAGAGCGTTGATTCGTCGCGAGGCGCGAGAAACGAGCGTGCCTTCAGTCACGTGCGTGGTAATTTGCGTGTCTCGCGCCTTTTTGCTCGACGGACCAAGAAAAAGAGAGACTGCTCGTAGTCTACACCTTGCTTTTTTCATGCTATTTGTAAATACACAGTGTCGAATTAACCTTTATACTTGATTTAACAAATAAAGCTCCGTTCTGTTGTAAAGCACGCAGGTGGCGGCTAGAGCAAGAAAGTGTTGGGGTGGGTGGTCCGAGTTGTTGTGCATAAAACTGTCTTGACAATTTGTCACCAAAGTAGCCAAATTTGCTTTTCTTGTCCAAGCCAATTTCTTATCACTTTCGCCGCATGATATCATTGTACAACAGTCCACCGCACTGAAAAGCTTAATGTAGCAGTTATTCGTACTTGCAATGATTGTTCCGCATTTCCACTAAGCTAATATATGCTTCTTTGTTCAGCGCGGTTTTGTTTCTGGAAGTGGTGACTCCACTGTGAAGTTCTGGGAGTTTGAACTTGTGTCTGATGCGGAGCACTCTCAAGTCAGGTGATCAACGTAGTCATTGTACTCATATGGAGCTTAGGTCCCCTTGCAATTAACCAACCAAAGCCACCAATACTCCTTCAGATTAGGTATCTGGTTGATAGAAACTTACACTCATCAATAACCCTAGCTTTTCATCAATCAGATGGGTTTTTATTATACATTTTATTCATTGGATAAAGACAAATGCCTATGACGTCATGGCGTTAATACATTCCACTGCACACTTTGTCTTCTGATATTCCGTTTCAAAAAAGTGGTTGATTCAGTGCGCTATATACTACTCCTGCAAAAGGAAGGCCAGGCCTTGCAAGGCACAAGATCCGTTCGTTGTAGCTGATAGCCAACTAGAATCTTTGCATTCATGAGGTCATCGCTGTTAGGCTTCAGGCTTCAGTCTTATGACAGGTCTAACGCTTGTTTTTCTTTTTGTTCTGACAACAGCAAAAGACTGAGTGTCTCTCACGTGCAGACTTTAAAGCTCAAAGAAGAAGTGCTGTGTGTTAAATACAGGTATTTCATCTCAGTTAGTTTTTCTAGTGCACAATGAGGATGTTAAGTGTAGGTTAATAAATAAGGAGGAGTGATAAAAACACAAGGCAGAGTGTTTCAGGCTTAATAAAACATGATGGCTGAGTTCACAATACAATACAATACTATACAATACTTTATTGAATAGTACAATACTTTGTTTAAAGTGGCACATTCACTTAGCTATATGGATTAGTTTAAAAACTCCACCAGCAAATTCACAGGTATTCCACAAACTTTTAATTCATTGTTGCATTCACATATTTAGATTTGTAGTTAATTTGGTCAACGAAATTTTACCCGCGTGAATATCAGATATAAGGACACTCGTGAATCATTAATTTCCTTTGTATTTTCTTTAAGAATTATTTATGAGGTTTAGAATTTTCTTGAAACCATTTTTTTTTTCAGCCCAAACCAAAGACTACTTGCTGTTAGCCTTCTTGACTGCACAGTTAAAATTTTCTTTGCTGACACACTCAAGGTTTGTGTAAAAAACTAAGTCCTTTGAAAGGAATGTATCGTAGGTCTTGTCTTGTGTAACAATAATTTCTTGTTCACTCCACAGTTTTTTCTATCACTTTATGGTCACAAACTCCCAGTGATGACATTAGACATTTCCTCGGTAAGTGTTAACTCTACTAACCATCTTGTATTTCTTGAATATCGGACGCAATGTCCCCGTCATCGTCAGATTTAACAGACTAAAGAAACTGTAACTTTAAGATAAACATTACATTCAGGTCATCATGGATAACTTGTTGTCGCTTTTTAGGGAAAGTAGGAAATACGAGACTCTCTTTATCAAAGTGACAACTGGTGCATAATCGTTCACATAAAATGACTGAGTTTTGTTTGAACACGAATAAATATCTGTTTTCGTTCACCATTTTCATATTGCTAATAATGTACTATGTTTACCCCCAAAAAATTTTGCCCAAGTATTGTCTTCAATTTTGGTTGTGAGGGTTTACAAGGTGTATGATGTGCAGTATGAAATGGTGAATATGAAAACAAGGGCATCAGGACTGACTTTGAAAAAGAGGCCCAAAGGTTATTCGGAAATGGAGAGATACTTTTTACGATCTACTTTAGAGGCAGCGCTATTTCCGCAGGGGGATTGGTTTTCTTGTACACTGCCGTAAAGAGGACTTTGGTCTATACACGTAGTGAGTACATGTGCGTCGTACGTAAAGTGTTGCTATCTTTAAACACAGGATAGTAATCTCATAATCACTGGATCAGCTGATAAAAACATCAAGATATGGGGTCTGGATTATGGTGACTGTCATAAGTCTATATTTGGCCATGACGACAGGTGAGTACAGTATTAGCAGTGCATGCCTGTGACTTTTTATGATATCCCTAAAGGGGCTGCATGTGTCACTGGTGCTGTCTAGTTCATCTTATTAATATTGCCAGTTGCACGTCCTTATTCGCGATGGAACTTGAGAAATTACTCGTGAATGGCAAAATTTACAGGTTCTTGTTAAACAAATGTCCCATAAGCATCATATCAAACGTTGCAAACAACAAAACTGAACTTTAAACAACTGTTAGGCTAACAAGTTTTCAAAAACTACTTATTGTAATCCGTTTCAATCTTCTTCAAGTTTGTTCATCTGTGCCTCCTTTTGTACTTGCTGTGCTAATTATTCCTTCTTTTCATGTTGTGCGCAGTTATTTTTGTTTCACTCAGTTTTGCGACAGTTCCCTATTTGTTGTTGTAACCTTGAACCTTTTCAGTGTTGTAGACTTGCTCACGTTCACGTACACTTCACGTTCTTGTTCACGTTTAACTGACTCTATTTTTTTTTCTTTTTTCTCTCAGTATCATGGGTCTTCAGGTAGGTTGCTTATTCGATTTTTTATATTTGACGTGTTTTTGAAATCATTTTGCTCTGGAGAGGATATCTGGCAAGTCAAATGGGGACATGTTTTTACTTCCTCGCTACGTGAAGATTTTCTAACTCTAACCTCCCTCGGCCTTCCACCTAGCCAGGAACTTTTTGTTTCCTCTTTAAACACTCGGGAATTCACGAAACTAGCGAGCTTACGGAACCACGGCGGATCCCTTTGCCGTCCTCAGTCAACTACGACGCGAAATGATCAAATTTTAAGTTTCCTTTAGAACGAGACTTGGTCCCGAGACATCCAGATTAACAGACGTCCAGGCAGTTCTCTGATCACTTGTCACGCTGCCTTCTCATTCTCAGCCACCTGCTCAGGGTTTCTCATGTCTCATTCTTTTGCAGTTTGTTCCCAAGACCCACTATTTCTTCTCAGTGAGTAAGGACAAAACACTGAAATACTGGGATGCTGACAAGTTTGAGCACATCACAACACTTCAGGTGGAGAACTGTTACATCCTTCTCTTCTAAACCAAGCAAGATGACAATGTCATACCTTTTATAAACTGAACTATCAATAGTATTATATTAAAGCACTGCCAAAGAAATTACTTTATTTAAATGGTCACATCACAGGATTTCGTTGAATCACCTGTATTAAGCGGTCGCGGTCGCCTTTTCCGAGGTCCCAACGAATTATTTTTTTATTGTCTTCACCTCTATTAAACGGTCACTTTTGAGAAGACGTACCATACTAGTGCAACGGATCGCACTGTGTGTGGCGTCAAGTGTTCTTTGGCATTTCTTCTTTTGGCCCAAGAAGAGGTAAAATTTGTCGTGGGATGGATATTTCGCTCTTTGACTGCCTTCATTTTCTTGAATAACTCTCACGTTTGTCAAACCTGTATTAAGCGGTCAGTAAGCCGTTCCCAAAGGGTGACCGCTTAAAGATGATGTGACACGAGACGATTCGCAACGACGATTTTTAGTGCAATGCAGCGTTGCAACATTGTTGCGACATTGTTTCGAAGAGTTACAACATTGTTCCAGCATTGCAAGGCTGTGTTGTGCCAAAAATCGTCGTTGTGAATCGTCCTTAATACAGGTTTGACCGAGTGTATGAAGTATTATATTTCTTTTGACAGGGTCATCATGCTGAAGTATGGTGTCTTGCCATCAGCCCAGATGGAGATTTTGTGGTGAGTATTTCATTGTCAAAAAAGGCTCACGGTAACCCACCGAGGCCGGCACGGCTTTGGCTGATCGAGTTTTTAGTTGTATAAAGCACGTACTAAGAAAATTTACCCTTCAAGTCCCATTATCCACAACTTGTTTGTTCTCAAAACCATCTTCATACATTTCATTCGGCACTGCTTGAGAGAATTATTTTGTTCAAACATTAAGACATTTCATCCTCGGTGATCATTTCGTTCAGTCTCATGAAGTGTATGTTTGATGAGGCGCTGTTATTGTCAGGAGAAAGTGGATGAGGATCATTATTGGAGCTTAAAACCGTTAATACAGTCCCTGGATGGAATGCTGGTCCATCATAGGGTTGTCACCATTTATTCGTAAACTTCGGTGATAACAGAGAACAACAGAAACGAAGAAAGTTTTACAAAAGAAGAATTCAATTCAAGGAGATACCTCGCTTGCCGAGTTTTACTAAGCTTTAGTGTTTTTTTTTTTTTAGGTAACTGGCTCACATGACAGATCTCTGAGGCTCTGGGAGAGGACAGATGAACCATTGTTTGTTGAAGAAGAACGAGAACAGGTTGGATTTATTTATTAATTGAGTAAAAGAGGAAGTTCTCGTAAGGGGACACGCTCGGGACGCGAAAAAGATGTCCGTAACTGGAACTGACCACTTATGAGACTGGTTGTCGTAAGTGGCCACTAGGGTTAAATGGCCGCTAACGGGAGCTTACCCAGCTACAAATAAACTTTGGAAATGCAAAAAAAACCTGTTTAGCTATTGTTCTGACAATGTTGTAATTCAGTCACAAGCATTAAATTCAAGTGGTGTTTGAAGTGTAACCGGACGTGTATGTGACACGCAGCGTAGGTCTCCTCCTCTATGTAATTCCACAAAGAACTGTTTTTTTTTTTTGTCCAGGAACGAGAACAAGAATATGAAGAAAGTCTCGCACAGAACGCCGAAAAAATAGTAAGTAACCGCATCTCCCCAACTAACGCCGTTGAGGGTTACGCATACAGTAGACTGTCCACAGTCCCCTATTTTTTTTGTATGATCGTCAGGATCGAGCGGTTACCGGTAAGGGCGCCCATCTTGGTCTCATATGTACCGAGGGGCCGGGCGTCGGGGTTTATGGCAGTCGGGGGAGGGAGGCGAGAAAGTAGATTTTAAAATAAAAATCATCCAAGATGGCTGCAGTCAACGTAGTCTCCGATCTCGACGATCTTACGGGAAAAAAGGGGACTGTGAACAGTCTATGTGACGAGCCAAAAGGGCATCTGCGGAGGAGGCTAGATCCCTGGGACTTGATAAATTTTCTGTTCGATAGCAGCTGTATTTGTACGTGTACGAAAACTGCATTCCATAAACACGAGGTAGCAGCCCTACATACTGTTAAAAACTGAGTGAATGGAGAACACTTTAACAAGATCCATCATTTCACGCATGGATTTCACGCCGTGGATTCCGGATTCAGGGTACTGGATTCCTTCTCTGTCAGTGGAACTTGGATTCCGGATTCCTATCCGGATTCCAAAGCCCAGAATTCCGAAGTCCCCAACCAAACATTTCTCGGATTCCGGAATCCGGATTCCTTCACACGGGGCAATGTCTTGTCTTATTGGATTTTCCTTATTTTCTTGTCGTTAGATTCCAGGCGAAACAGACGCAGAAGCTGTCAAGGCTGGCAAAACAACAATGGAAACCGTTAAGGCGGTAGGAATGCAGAATGAGATGGACTTGTTATTTAATATGTCCCACTAAATTCCCGTTCTGTTACAATCTTGCCATGTAAGATTCTGACTGGCAATATGACCGAAATAATGAATATATGAATGTCATATATTTGACTCTGGCATGAAGAATTTTTTGCAGAGAAGATCCATCTCATCTTCGTCTTCCCCGAGTATATTACGTACCAAATTTAATGACCAGCTCCCGGTTGGTTTGCAAGCTTAAATTGTTAGAGCGCTGCGATGCACCGGTTTCGCAGAGGTCTGGTTTGAAATCCCGGCATGCCTGAATTTTTTCCGGCTTTATTTTGGCAACTCCATAAGTTGCCTATTTAACTGTTATCTTCTCTGCATTTCATGTTACCGAACTTCCAAGCTTCGCATCCAGTTCTAGTTATTACACACTCGTTCCAATTGCTAATCCTAAGGGTGTGTTTCGCATCTCGCCGTTACACTCTCTCAATATTACAGACAATGGCCTTGGTTCCGAAGGTCTCTGATAGTACTAAAGACTACTGAGGAGAGTGACAAAGTTCAACATTTCATTTTGTAAAATGCATAAAGGCAAATAGTACCAAGTTAAAGTTCCCGTGAGGAGGTTTCATATGAATGGTAACAACATAGGATTGTCACCACAGATTTAACAGTGAGAACCACCTTACTTAACTCAGTCATTCACGCTGGGTATCAAAGGGTCAATGATGCCAAGAGGAGTATTGACGGCCATGTAAACGTCTCTCTTAATTAAAAGTGTATAATGATAACGATGCTATTCTTTTTATCATAGTTCTCTACGACTTGCTGTAAAATGCACCAAACTTTGTGTTTTCTCTTAGGCGGAGAGGTTAATGGAAGCCATTGAGCTTTACAAAGAAGAAACAATGAAGGCAGATGAATTAAAAGCCAGTGGAAGGAAGCAGGTATTTTGTTATAGTGATTATCATTTACAGTAACTGTTTGCAGAGGTCTTAATTTTTCTATCGCTTAATGTTAACATACTTAAGAACTGCTCTTCTAATACAGAATCGATCTAAGAACAGTGTAACACATGTGAAAATGCGCATTTTTCCCTCTTTGTAGGTGCCGTCAAATAACCCAGTCCTTATCGCATATGGAAATATATCGGTAAGAATGTTGTACAACATTTATTTTAAAAGAACAACGATCCTGATTGCGGTGGACAGACCGCCCTCTAAGTTAGAATGATAAAAATCGACAGTGCATTGCGGCCATTTTCTATCACAAATTTATCTCGTTTTCACGCAAGCTACTAGCCTCATTTTCACGTTAAACCATGTGACATCACATTAGTTCTCGTGTTCTCCTGTCTTAATTTCCTTAAGGGCCAGTCTGAACTAATGATCCTTCACAACTCTTCTTCTTTGCTTTTGTTCTTTCTAGCCTGTTCGTTATGTTCTCGAAGTCTTGAAGAAGATTCGTTCAAGGTATTGTATCTGTTTTTTTTTGGCAGTCGGTTATGGTCCTTAAAAATAAAAAATTAAGTTGGCTAGAAATTCTCTAATTTTTCGCTGACTGAAGCTTTCTGGAACCATGTCTGTTCTCACTTTCTTTACAGCTATAATTTATTCACGTTTCAGTGTTTTCGTTGGGAAAACCTTAATAACAGAAGTAGATTCGTTGAAGTGGTTGTGGAATAGAATGCACGCGTAGAGCGAGCGTCAAAACGTTGACTTGGCGCCTTGTGAACAGTGACTTAACTTGCGGGAGAAAGCAAAACGACTGTTTCCAACACGAAGGGGTGTGCTGTTGTTGTTTTTTATGGAAATGTCGTGGATCACGACGTGTCAGAGACAAACGTGGAGCGCAGAAACGTAGAAAATCTTCCCTTCATCTCGCGCCCGACTTGTTTTCCGTTTGGCGCTTGACTAAAAAACGCCTAGACAAGGGGGAGTCCTCTCGCCTTCTTATGCGCACAATTTTCCGGCCCAGTGCGGCCCTCGCTGTTATTAGTGCCTCAGCTTGGCCTGTCTTCTACCGTGTGGAAAGAGGATATTAATGTACAAATTGTTGGATTCATTTTCTTCCCTCGCAAGTTTGAATTTCTATGACTTAATTTGGTAAAGTTTCGTACGTTGAAATCATAATGACATTAAATTATAAGCTTCCTTTTATTTTTACAGTGAATTAGACGAGGCTCTCATAGTTCTCCCCTTCAGTGTTGTGACTGATATGATGACTTTAATTAATCACTGGCTACAGGTAATTACGAAATTACAATAGGCCCCTTTCAAAAATACCATAATAGTGTCCCTCCAAAATTCTGAATAATCATCAAGGTGCAAAGAAAATCGTTTTTACAGCTTGCCCTTCGGGCAAGCTGAAGCTAGCATTTACTAGCCCAGACATCATTTCAACTAGCCCCAAAAACGTTTTGCTCTTCTGTTATTCAAATTCATCATAAAACATCACTTGCCCGTCGGGCAAGTTAAAAACAGAATTCACTAGCCCGATAGCAAAATCCACTAGCCCCGGGCTATCGGACAGTACTTTCTTTGCAGGCTGATCATTGTTTTCAATTTCTCTTGGGGCGACTGTAAGTCCAAGAAAAATTGAAAACAATGCTTACGCAAACGTTTGGAGGGACAACAAAGAGTATTATGGTATTTTTGAAAAAGGCCTATACTTTCCGGGGCAACAATCTCCAACACAAGTCTTCTCAATTTTTAGTACAGAGAGAGTCAGCGTATTAAGAGGGTTTCATCCTCTTTCTTATTTTTCGAAAGGGCAATATCTATTTTAAAACGTCTTTTGATCGCGAAAAAAAATTGCTTCTAATTCCTTTGCAGGAAATCGATGCGCAATACCATTCCACATTCATCTTGAAAATGTCTTGAAAGATTGTCAAGAATTGTTCTCTCTCATAATACTTAATCGAGAGTGTGCAAGAATAACTTTTTTCCTGTCGTTTTAACTGTATGGCTAGTGTATCACCCCTTTATCGAAGTCCATTTTCAGTCCAGAATTGCTCGCAATCCATACTCATTCGCGACCCATACCCGTAAAGCTCATTAAGTAGTGTACAAGATTAGCTTAGTCGGTAGAGTGCTGGACTGCAGAGCGGGAGGTCGCGGGCTCAATAATGAACCAATACTCAGGGTCATAAAGTAACTGAGAAATGAAGGTACTGCCTTTGCCCTGCAAGCGGCCAGATCCGCTTCGATTGTTAATCTATGCGTGCAAAAATCATCAAACATTATTGTGGTTAGTACTCCCTGATGAAATTTGTTTGACATCTTCTCCATAACTCTACAGGAGCATTTTGTATACAGTAAAAATCCGCGAGTAAGAACCTGGAAATTAAGAACCTCCCTATAAACAATAACCTGTTTAGCACAGAAAATGGAAAATAGTTCTTATTTTTTAAAATCATATTAGTGAAATGCAGCTGCAAAGCTGTGCAAGAATCCTGTATTATAATGTTTGTTAATGTTCTTGAGAGTGGTGGTGCTGGTCATGGAGGGGGGGTGGGGATGATTGAAAAATAGACTTATTACCATCTTGCTTTGTAGCTTGTTTTTTATTATTAAGATTTTTCTTTTTATTTATTTTTTTTTTACAGAAATAAGAACCTATTTAAGAACTTAAATAGCCTAAAATTGTGTTAACTACCATTTAAATAAGAACCTGTTTAGGCTGACTCCAGAAAATGTAGGTTCTTACTCACTCGCGGGTTCGTGCTGTATGAGTAAAGGCACTAAGTGATAATTTTAGCCCAGAATTGACCCGAAACAGCAATGTCCTCGTGGTATTGTCCCTTTAGCTCCAAGCGTCTAATCATTTTTTTGGTTTTAATTCATGTAGAGTGGCTGGGAAGTGGAGCTGTCCTGTAGATGCCTTTCATTTCTATTGCGGTGAGTAAATTCCAGACAAGTGCGAGCAGATCTATGTGATGGTTGCGATGGAGCGCTGTTACATCGATGATCGTAAATTGAATGTTAAAGTGTTTAGCCGATTCTGATTTAAGTAGGCAATGGCAATTTAAAAAACCAGTCGCAAGTAAAAGAAAATTCATTTGGCAGGCGTTAGGCGCATAAAAATGTTAATGAACAAGTCATAGTTGATATGTGGGTTTACTTCAAGTAGGTTAAGAAAGTCGCGCTAGTTTGGAAAACAATAAAAATGTGTAACGATGCAAAACTGCAGACTACAGTATGCCATACGGTCACCTTGTTGTTAGTGCCACTTTGGTTTGTTCTCGTGGCAAAAATATAAACTTGTTGATGTGGCCTCGCCACATGTAGTTGTCTTTATTCATTCAACTCTTCATTACGGTCACTCCAACCAAGAGTTCATTATAATGAAAGGTGCCAAGGGAAAGTAGGTTTTGATGAGCGATAGCGTTATTCTTTTGTGGCTGCCTATGAAATGTCACTGTTCACTTGGAAATTAGCCATTTTTCTTCACAAATTTAGTAATGTAGTTGCACCTCTGCAATATTAAACGAGAAATAATACGGCCAAATTTTACTGTAATAAAATTCAACACTCGAGTGAAACAGAAATTTAACAAATGCCCGGGGGTAATCAACAAAGTTTTATATGGGGAGGCTCCGCCCTGAAGCCCAACTCCTTTATATATATACCCCACCTTTTTATGTACGATGTTTGTCAGTAAAGGTACACCTTTCATATTCCTAGTTTAGAACTTTGCAGCCCTTTTAACTGCTGAAAATGCATTGTCTTTAAAAATAAAGGATTAAATTAACTGCAAAAACCGTGGACGAAGATCCTGCTGGTTGTAAACGTTGGATCTCTAGAAAAGAGATCAAATCAGCCAAAATATAAAGAACCAAGAACGAGAAGTCCAAATACTACTGCAAAGCTGATTCAGAACAACGTGTATTGTTTTTTCATAACAATATTTCGGCTCGCCATACTTACTGTCTTTAAACTATGAATAAGTCACAAAACCAGAAAGTTTTCCCGACTTTCCCATGGCCAGAAAATGCGTCTGATAGCCCTATCAGATCGTAACGACAGATTGTGCAACCCTTTCATGTATTTCAACTAGTGAAATCGCTACCCTTTCATATGCCTGAAGCCTGAAAGAGGTACTCCTTTGGGCGGAGCCTCCCCGTATAGGCCGTTATAGGGAGTACTCCCATCCTCGGTACAAATGTGGATACACCAATTAAAGACTCCATCACTCCATATCAGTTGCTTTTCTTTCATTTTACAGGATTCATCACAATCAAATCGTCGTAAACAAAGTTCTTGTTCCAGTGATTGATTCTCTTCGCGAACACGCTAAAGCTCGTGTCCACCAGTTAAGGGTTAGTACGTCCTCTTTGTATTCTTTCTTCTTTTATCCCTTTGTATCTTTGAACCTCTTGACTCCTCGAATGACCAACTCAAAATTCAAAACAATCCAACTTGTGGTTTTAAAACATACTTTCCTGATCCCAAACTACTGGTCATCTCAAATGGTAGCATCCTCGAAGTTGGTCCACGGAATCAAGTGCTACAACCACCTTGAAAGGGTTGCGTTTGAGAACATGTTGTGTACTCACAATTTTGTCATCTTTACATTGCTTGCAAAGAGCTGAAAATTGCACAAATTGCTCAAATTACCAAACTGTTTCAACTTTTGAATAAAACAAACAAAAAACAAAAAAACAAATTTTATTGAAAATTGGAAAATAACTAATTACATTACTTTCCCACCCGCAAATAGCTTATGAACTAATCGAGGCGGGGGGAGCTGAAGACATATTACAAAACAAGAATTATATATAGATGGACTAAATAACAGTGAAGACACTACAATACAGTAAATAGAGTTTAAACTAACATAAAACAAAAAACAAAAAACAAGGCATGTACATAACGATTACGAAGAGAGGTTAACTAAAGTATTAAATAACTTAATAAGACGGGAGACTTCGACATAATCATCTTCTGACCGCAAAAAATTTAGTAATAATTCCTTTATTTTTTTACGAAAGGACGAACGTTTAAGTATTTTAGTCGAATACGGAATAGAGTTCCAAATTTGGGCACCGATTCTCGTGAAAAAGGCATACATTTTATCGGTTCTAGAGAACTTAACATAAAACGAGTCGCTAGAGACAGATCTTGTTCTGTAGTTATGATCTTGTTCTGTAGTTATGAATTCAATTTGTGCATACAGTAGCCCTATTATCAGGCCTTCCTGAGGGTCCAGGGAAGAGGAGATTTTCAGCCGATTGGTAGGAAGAAGGATTTGATTAGGTTGTATCGAGGGGCTCTTGTTAGCGGTTTTGTAAACGTTTTGGTTTACTTTAACAAATTAGCGTGTAATTTTTAAAGCACTCGATAGATTTTGTAATAAAATATGATAAAATCTTTTGTTATCACCCTTGTGACTGTTGTCAATTCAAGTGAAATTGTGAAAAAAGTGAAATTTTATTCTCTAACTGGTTTTGGGGGGTAATCTTCAAGGAGTGATAAAATTAAGGGGGGAAGAGCTGGACGCCATGCTGTTAAATGCAGAAAAGGAAATAAAAAACAAAACGAAATTCTATTTACCTATTAATTTATTTACTTCGCAACAGGGCGTGTTAAATTTTTTACTCTTTGGTGTTCAAAGGGCAGCAGTCATGAAAAAGGCAATAGAACAAAAACGCAAGTGCTCCCCCTTGGAGGACGTGAAACTATTTTACGTTCTATGATGTAGAAATTTCCCCCAAAAGTGCGCTCTTATTAGCTACCTCGAGGTCTCTTGACAGTTGACAGTGAACTGATTAAAGCCAAAAGTCTTTGACTGTGTACCAGTCAGACGCTGTGTTGACTCTTTGTTTCCATATTTGGTCTACTAATAGCTTTCCTTGGATTGGATTGCCTGTGAAATGTATTCCCTCGAGAGTAGTTGTTAGTGTTCATTTTTATTTTCTTGTTTCTTGCAGGACAATATTGGGTTTAACTTAGCCGGTTTGCATTTTATTCAAAACGAAATGGAAGCCAAACAAGAGACATTTTTTGCCGACGCGACCGAAAAAGTGAAAAAAATTCGAAAGAAACACAAATCTGCTGTCGTTCAAGTTGTGAAGTGAGTTTGACGCTCCATTGAGATTCTTCTACCCTGGGTGCCAGAGACTTTTCTCGTGGCTTCGGCCTACGGCCGAAGATGTGTCGGCCTTCGGCCAACACCGAAAATTCCCGCCGCACGCGAGAAAAACCTCTGGTACCCAGGGTAAGATTCTTCTGACAGCAATATCTGTTCGTTTGCTTCGTTTCTTCGTTGACCCGTTTCGTTCCTCGGTCCTGCATTTTGCTACATCGGTGAAACCAACTCTGACGTGGGACATAAGGAAGAAAAACGAGTTTGGCAAGGCAAATAGAGAGGACTACGACCATAACCTGTAGCATTCTCTTCAACGACACTACTCTTTTTGGCATTTGTTAGCGGAAATTAAACGAGACTTGTGTAAGGAATATCCATACGGGTGAACAAGAAAAGTTTTGTTTTTCCGTCTCCCTCCAACATTGCTAGCAGGAAAACATTCCGCCTGGCGGCTCTTTGTTCGTCCCTGTCAGCCCACTGTGGAACAATAGTTTTGTTGTGGGGGCAATAAATGTCTTTCCAGTGGAAACTGCTACATTCATTCTCCTAGCAGTGTCCTCCATTCTTCATTTTCAAAGTGGATTTCTTGATGTGCTAGGAAATAGAAGAAGAAAGGTTCTCTGAGCTGACGGTACAGTAACAGAACGTTCAATGACATTACCGCTTCTTATCATTTTGATCTTATCGACAAATAAAAACGTCGCACTAATTTATTTAGTCATAATTTGTGAACAGAAGACAAAGTCGCGCTCCGTTATGGAGCTTCTAACAAACTGCAGCACTGGTGTTTTTATCTTTGATGTTTGTCGCCTTTTACGCGCAAAACAAACGAATGATAATTTTTCTTTCTGTTTCTAAACTAAGCGTAGGACTAAGCTCGCGCCAGTGGGGAAAAAAGGTAAAAGACGGAGAGAAACGGCAAATAAAGATCGGCGAGCGAAGCTAAACTAAGGTGCGGTTCCCCAAAAATTCAACTCCGGGAACGTTCACCCCCTCGCAGCGAATTTGAGAAACGCTTTTCCCCTGCCCTCGTTGCTAAAGCCCCCCAGTAACTCCTTTTGGTTGTGTAAGAGTTGAGTCCATCAAATTTTACTTACTTTCAGCAAATTGGTCAGCAAGCAAAGACGATGTGTCGTGTGGCTGTAAGTATGATGCCGCTGGCTCCTGGAAAAAAAAAATCAGTGTCAGTCGGAATGCAATTTTTAAAAATGTCCAAAATATCTGTAGTACTGTTTCCTGCTCAGAACAGGCTCGCTTCTTTTCCATGAACTCGCTGAGTGAGCCTGTTTCGGCAGGCGGCTGAAGTCTTTAGTCTTAACGAGGGTCAAAATTTGTGAAATTGCACCGACTGAAATTGTTCTCTGGCAAAGTTGATATAACGCTGATGAAAAACAAAATGTAAAAACATTCCCACACGCAATATGGCGTTGAACCAGCGACCTAAGAATTTGGAAATGTTGACAAGGAGTGATCCTGCTACGGCCACAAACGCCAAGGGACATTGGTACCATTCTGCCGCGAGTGCTTTCTAGTTAGCCCCAAACCTCAAGTTATTAGTATGCCTTTAAGCTTTCCTCATATGTAGCTGATCATAACCCCAGATAAACCACTGAACTGTTTAGGTTGAAAGATGTCTTAATTTACAAATATTTCCTTTTCTACGACAATCAGATATTGATGGATTTCTGATTAGATGCTATAAATACAAGCAAGTGAAATTTTCCCACACTTCTTAGGATCTGCGACATTGCACAGAGAAACAAACAAATGTGTTTTATACGAAGTTCAATAGAGTACCATCCCTACCTTCTTCTCTTGAATTCCATGATCAGTTTGCAATACTATTTCTCAGGTTTAATTATTTACGGAAGTTCTCCACATAAGTTGTTCTTTGTAAAAGGAAATATTGACAAATGGCTTAAGAATTATACTAAGATCGATTTAACCTGTAAACAACAGAGAGCAGAACGAACGTGGGATACCGCAGATATCGGTCCGATGAAAGAACAGTCGCTCGTAACATTTACTCAGGCTTCTTTTCAGCTCTCGTTCAGGAATTCTAAATTGAAATGAAAACAGTTGTGTGTGTAAATGTATAGCCATCGATTCATTCTTGTCAAAAATTGTGTGAAATATCTCGGTACAGAAGCGATGCAGGTTGAGTCGCTCATTCGAGTGAAGCCACAGCGAAAATTGCAGCTAGACGAACCTGTTCAAAGGTAAGAGTAGGCGGAAAGATTTTTTCCAAAGAAAGAAAACTGTGCAAGACTCGAGACATTTTTACAAACCAGATACTGGTATGACCACTGACATCGTTCCAAAAATGATAGATGAATAAAAAAGAAAACAAAATAAGAGAAGAAAAGAAATTTGAATTTACTCCACGTCTATTCTGATAAATGTACTTCATGAGCACTGCCATCGTTAGTTGGTTTTATTTTATTTACAAACTTCGCCAAGGGCCTGGATAACTCACAGAGCAAACTCCACTACGAGGTTAACGTCTTAAAAATCCTGACAAGCCAGTGCCGGGACGCGTCTCGTTTCGATAAGCCTCGAAAATTTGACTGGACCGTTTATAATGGGCGTATGTTTGAAAGGAAGTTCGATTCTTGTATATGCACCGCTGGAAAAACAAATCTTCTGATATGATCCGCAATCAAGAGGAAATCATTTTAAATCTTTTAAGCTGATGACACCCTATTATTGTCCGGCAATTAGATCTTATTAACACGTAATCGACCGATGACAGAAGGGTCAGCTTGTTACTAAGAGGGTGGAGTGGGGTCATTAAGTGAAAAAGAAGCCTGACTGAAAGTGATTAATTAACACTAAGCAACAGGAACACGTAAATTTCGGATGAGATTAAATGTAAATGTAAGGTTCTAAAAGCAGTGAATTGCAAAAATACTGAAAATATATGGCAGCCGATGGCTATCAAGAATTTACTCCTTAAAACTGAGCTTGTTGTACGTCAATTGTCCAACCGGTTAATCCTAATCTCATTGTCGCCTTTTCTGCTGGAAGAGTGGGGCACACCATAACTCAATCAGGGGCACTACGCCGGCATGAAGAAGCAAAACTTTGAATGACATATTAAAACGAAATGCCTAGTTACAAAAATCGTCCCACCCTCCTGCCTCGCCCGCCACTGATTTCTGGTTGCCTGTTTCGTAACTTAATGGCTTGAAGCGCGTCTTTTAATGAATGGAACTTGGAATGTTTAGCATTCACGATGACTGGAAAAGTCATGCACTATGCCTACAGGAAAGAGGCTGATGAGGCAAAGTCATTTGCTAGGAAATTCAATCTATTTTATAGTTTGCATTATAATCGTAAAGCGAGGAGTTTCGCTGTTCACTGATGCTAGCTTTTATGGGTGCGGTTTGACGTGTCAACAAATAGAACCAACTAGCAGGTAAATCTCAAGCGACAAATTACACTACACTATTTTTAAAGTTTATATTATGGTCAGTTTAGATTTAGTTTCTGTGCCTCATCTTTCTATCATCAGCTTAATAACAGAGGTTGCTTTACGAGAAAGGCTCAGTGTATAAACAGCGGTGCTTATTAATTTATTACGGCTATGAGTCTGAGAATCAAATCTCAAGCTGCTATATATAATTCAAATCTCTCTCTCGGTATTTATCCAGTGGCCTATCGCTTTACTCAGAGTTTGTTTACTACACTTTACAATGTGGGTCTAACTAAATGTTGCACGGCCCCTCAGAGATTAACACCCGAGCTTTAGAGCAAGCTTTGTGGGAACATCACCACTGTTGAAATCCTTCATAGCTTGAGCATTCATGTGGTTTATATGCTGTTCACTTGTAGAGCTGCAATTTTAGCTAATCCTTCACTCTCTGGATGAGATCGTAATTCTGGTGACCGCCTCAAATATAAGCTCTTAAGCAATAAGACATTGCTGTAGTACTGTTTAATACACGTATGTAATGCTACGTTTTACTTCCATGCATGGTGGACCAATGGTCTAAACTGAGCCAGGCGGCATTAGCCGGCCTAAAGGAATACTTTTATTACTTTTTTCCACTGAGTTGCCTAAAGCCTTTGGTCTGTAAATGAATGTTGAAAAATTTCTCTCGCATAAAAGCTTACCTTCGAATATCTGCAACTCGGACGATTATCTGGCTCGGTCAATGTTTCAATTTTTTCCAACTCTTTTTCCTGAAAATCTTGAACCATGTCCTCTAGAAAATCAATATACTCTACAGCACTTTGCAGAATCTCTGCTTTCGTTGTGATTTGGTTCCTGTTTGGAAGATACACTTTTAAGTTCGCAAAATGCTTATTTAAAGCCTTTATCCTTTCCCTCTCTCGTTTGTTTTTCTGGATCTTGCTGCGTTGTATTCGACTTCTCTCTGCCATCTTCAAACGAAAACTGTCTTTTACTTGCCCTGTTCTGCCTTTGTTCATGCCGATACTTGGCCTGAGATACCAATCTACGAAGTCACAACTGGACTGTTTGGGTTAAATGATATCTTAATTTATTCTAATCCCCTATTTTCTGAGGGCTGTCAGATATGGATCCCCTTCTAATTTTATTGTTTTGTTTTGAATTGAATCTTTCCCACACTCGTCAATTTGCAGCGGATCTGCTAGACGGAAAGAAATCATTTTAATATACGATCCTCCCGAAGAATAGTCGTTCAGCTCAATCAGTACAAGTTTTCAGGTCATCTCAATTAAATCCTCGTGGTTCAGCTTCCCGTACAATACTATTTCAGTTGGTCAAATAACAATCGGAAGTTGTCAACATGAGATTGTCCTTAAGAAAGGGAAATGTTGAATAGGGGCTGTAGACTTATCCTACAGTTAAACAAATCGATGTTGCACTAAAAGGATAAACATTCTAAACTAACCCTTTGGCGTGCAATAGACCAATAAGGGCACAGGTTACGCCAGTGAATCAGTTTTCTGAGTTTTCGTGCAGGAATTTTAAGTTTAACAGAACCAAACGAAATGTTTATCGTTCTTTTGAAGTGTTTTTTTTTTTGGTTAGATTTCCTATCTGGAAACCTTCGATAAGTTTTCAATGCTTTATCCCCTAATGAAAGAGATCGTCAATACGCCGCCCCACGTCGTCAGAAATTTGTCGAATTGCTTAGTAGACGAGTTGTTACTTTATAAGTTACTGGCCTTTTCAAAGCCGTAGTTTCGAACACCCTAATGAATTTCTTTGTTAATAAACGCAAATATAAAAATTGTCCCAGAAGGAACTCATCACATTTGACGTGTGATCAACCGATAACGAGTTGCAAGGCCAGTTCGTGGACACATTTTACATAACCGAGCGTTTTTTAGACATATGGTGGACAAAACATCCTCTTCCCCAAACTCCATATCCCTAGGCTCTGCATGTATTGTTAATACCCCCTTCTAAATTCTGGACGCTGTGTAAAATAATGTTATTCCATTTACGGGGAAAAGAAACTGCAGTACGAATTCCGGCACAAGGCTGCATATGTTTGAATAATATTTACTGTGTTAGAGGAGAATTATAGTTCCCCGGGGCGCTGCGGAGGTACCACAGGTTACCACAGGTACCACTCGCGGGAGTTGTCTTTACATGTAATTTAGAAAGAGGTTCAATATCTTGGACTCTTTCACTTGGAGCCCGCCTTGCCTCCTCCCCTCCGCAGAACAGTAGTCGCTAATTAAGCGCTTCCTATATCTAAATGTTCAAAGCATTACGCTGTACATTCCACTTTGGATCAAACGTAGGTGTAAGACAGCTAGGACTCCGATGACCACCTCCAAGTACTCGTACCGCCGTACCACCCCGCCGGTTACTAACCAGAGAAAGGCAGATTAAACTGAAAGACGACGAAACGACAAGTAAGTCAACTGCTTTATTTTTGTATTTACAATTTTACCCCATGCTGAAAAAACTTAATATCACACGGTGCTAAGATCTTTAGAAAAGAATTCTAAAAGATAATCCATTTGAGACTAAGCGTTTATCAAAACTACAATATTGTAGACATACCCATTGTAGAAGGTGCACTTGATATTTTGCTGTGTAATCAGTGTTAACTCAGATGTTAAGTTCACTCTAAATTGTTTATTTCTTATCTGAAATGCTCACCAAATACATTACTTTTACCGGTTTTAATTACATTTTCAATATTTTTTTTTTCTTTTATGAAAAAGGCACGTGCAAGGAAGTAGAAAACGAAACAATAAACAAAGAAATTCTAGAAATCAGAAAACAAGTTCTGACGACTTAGAAAATTGACCAAGAACTTCATAGCCTCTTATCTTCAGTTGATGCGAGTTCAGTAGACAATTATCAACCGCATTTACACAATAATACAAATAAAGTTACATAATAAATAATATTTCACGCATTTCCTGAAGTGTTAAGGCGACGCGCCCTGGTAGTGTTTATAGACATGGAAATTGTTTTAAGACATTGATAGACAGCGGGGGGTGGGGGCCCTTTAAACGATGAGTCTAGATCCAGGGATGTACCGTGATTCGCTCCATACATTCGATTCCCCGCAATTATGTGGCCGCCGGCCGCACTGCTTACAGCGGCGATATTTATCACATTGTTCGTGAATTAACATGCCGGGACTCTGGGCACGTTGGTACTCCTCTAGCTCCAGATCTCTCTTACGATTCACGCTTGCAGCCCAGGAATCTTCCAGAGAGCGACGCGCATCCAAACGCTCTTGATGTCGGAGGGCGCGGTCCAAAATGATACTGCAAGAGAATGGAGAAGACATAAATATTCCAAATGTAGTTAACAAGCTAAAATCGAGCAAGCCAAATAATTATGTCACTGGCATTGTTTTAGTAGTTCACCATAGCAAGTACAGGAGACTAAAAATGAAAATAGGCAGAAATCAAATATGAGACTGGAATTGCTGAAGCCGTTATGCTGAGGGCTCCCTGACCATGTACAATCCCCTGGTTTGTTGGGTCACAAATTGTGAGTGAATGAATTATTGGGACGTTTCTGTAAGTCGTTTCAAATTGATAGGATTGCTACTTGCACGGGCAAGTCAAATAAATAAATAAAAATAACAAAAACAGATAAAGAAGTCTGCCGGACTATGTACCCATCGCACTTTAACTTTGGTTTTACCCTATTCGCCCCCTTTCCCCCCTCTAATCCTCCCAGTCAAAGCCTCAAGTGAAATTTATATTAACTCAGTCTGGTGATCAGTTTCGTTAACATTATCTGTGTGCTTCATCACCCATGGATCCCATGGATGGGCGTTGATCTCTGGGAAGATGTCTTATCAACATGACTACTAAAGGGCGTTTTCAAAAAAATTACTGGAGGTTCGCTTCCTTACTGGAATTTGCTTCTCTGCTATTTTTCACTGGAAATAGACCCTTCCCGCACTCCGCTCCAATGAGCAAACATTAAAAAATGAGGTCGAGGCTCGCGTGAACAATTTCGTACAAATCACTGTATTTTGTTCGCCGAAGATTCGAGTTGAAGCCTTTGTTTACAGGAATGCGGGAAAGTTCTATTACTCAAATTCTATTAAAATTTCTCTATGCACGATGTCCAGAATTCTTACACGC